ACAAACCTTCAGCTATTTCATTAATGGCTGCAAGATGTCATATCAGTGCTGGTACGATTTTTCGTGTTATTCGTGATATTATTCATGCAAGATGTCATAAGAAACGACCAGTACATCGTTTACATCCAACTGTCATTGAAAAGAGATCATCTACGTATAATACGATAAACAATCGCAAATGTTGCTATATGACGTCGACGATTTTTGATTTTTTACTAAATTCAATTGGCACTGTTTCCAACATTATTAGCAATACAACTAATAGTACTTTTTGATACATACAGATTCATTTCGGATAATTCTTGTTGTGTCACAGAGTATGACTATTTTGCTATCAAAAAATATATGATGATCCTTTCGGTATTATCAGATATTTTATTACAAAACATTCATTTACCATAAAATAAATACTATGACAACATCTGCAGTGTCAATGGGGTAGACTGATTTAAGAATCATGAGATGTGTGTAAGTCACTAACGAAGAAAAAGCTCATGCAAATCGTTTCAGAATAAATGGCATGATATGTACATGGACTGTCTTTATGTGATAAACTTTACTGCATATCGTAGATTGATAAACAAATGATTGTTTTCATTATTTAGAGAGTTTGTATCTATAGATTACACCTTTCTTAGGCATATATCAACAGGTGAATTTAATGAATCATATTACTATCTAATCGCAGACGGAGGATCTATTCATACCATAAGATACTGTTTACATCTCTAAAAGTTTAACTTTCTTCTATGAAATGAAAAGTTCACTAGAATGTCTAATTCAGTATAAGATATAGATCATTTTTGTTTCACTACTCACTATCATAAAAATTATTTGTATTTTCATACTCATTGAATCCTTCGCTCGCATAACCTAAAACACAAATAATGTTTTTAAAAATATCATAAAAATATGTTAAATTGACTATCGAACGAAATGTAGATTAGAGTTTACGTTTATTATCATATTTTTCTTACGAGGGAATCTTTCCAAGTGTCTTAATCGCTTTTTCCTTAAAACATACACGATTGTGGGTAATCTTTAATGCTGATCACGAATCTGATCAGCATTTCTGTTGCTAGGCCTTTCTGTGGTGAGTCACTGGAATCCGGGTGGCTAAAGACTCACTGTGAATTTTCAGCTAAACATATTTTGACACTGCGAGCTTGTAGAGCACGTTGAATTACTTATGTGGGAAAATGTTCAGAACCAACGAACAAGTTTTTTGTAGAGATAAGTTGTTCGTTGGTTTTGAACATTTTCCCTCATAGGTAATTCAACGTGCTCTGCAATCTTGCAGTGCCGAAATATGTTCAGTAAGTGGGTCTTTGGCAGAGCTGCAGAATCTGTCTGTTTGCTCTAACGGTCATCGGAGGAAAAACTTATTGATTTAGGGAAAATTTTTTGAAAAACTGGAACATCTTTTTGCAATATATTGCAAAAAGAAAGTCTGTTCATGGATTATGTCGGGGAAGTTTTTGAAAAAACTTTTTCGTCGAGGGAAATTTTCTAATCTCACGGGTAGATTCTGCACCTCCGGTCTTTGGATACCCAGATTCCAGTGACCCACTCCAGAAAGGTCTAGCAACAGAAACGGATATCAGATTTGTGATTAGCATCAAATATTACCCACAATCGTATGTGTTTTAACGAAGAAGAAGAATATACCCTTACCTACTGGTGTAAGGTGAGGGTCAACAAACTACTACAGTAAAAGCAGGAAAAAAAGGATGTTCAGGGTGCATTAGTATTTATTTAGTTTGTTTCCTACTGTCCATCGTAGAGCATTGGACGTTAAAGTATATCGTCAAAGTGCCACCTCCAGGCCACAAGTGGTTTTAATGAAAAGCGATTGGGCACTTGGAAAGGTCCCATCGTTAGAGGATGATATGCTGAACATTAACATTTCTTAGCTATATCTATTCAAAATACGAATTTAATAATTGAATAGTATATCTCAGTTATCTATTAGAGCAAAAGTTGAAAAATACAATGAATACATACGTTTTTCTAATGTTTCAGTAATACCAGAATAATCAGCTTCTAATTCCATTTTAAATTTATTCAAATCATGTTCTAATTTTTTATAATATCGTTCAATCTAAATGACATTCAAAAAAAAATGCTATTAAGGACAGTTATTTGATATAGGACAGAATGTAAACTAGACGTGCACCGATTTGGGGTTGATACCGATAGTTTGGGCTTCAAAATATTTAGATACGTTTTAAAATGACAGTCTATTGTATAGAAACTGGTATTCTGTATAGGTCGTTGAGAATGAATGAAAATCAAAACTGTCTTTATTATTCATTCCACCAGCTGTCTGATGTAGGAGGTAATCAATTTCTCAGCATACTGATACAGTCACACACATGTATATATTAGACAAACAATTCGTATACTCTGAAAGAAATCATATCTTCAGGCAAGTGTCTTATTTTTTCAATAAAATAATGTTTGCACAATATTTCGTATTGTTATGTTCTATAGATATTTTTTAATTGTACATAATTCATTTGATATTTTTCAAATAAGAAAATTAGTGTTTACTAGACAATAGAGCATATGTGCAGAATGTTTTTATTTGTAATCATCACACCGTAAACTTATTAAATGTTGTCGACATTAATTCATTGAAAGTTACCTGAGAGAACTTTTATTTTAATCGATCTCTCAACGAATGTTATGTCATTTTTGTTTTCTATTTATATTCATGATAAAAGATAGTCAACTATCTTATTGTTCAAAAGAATATCAGATTTCTTGTACAACATTCATAATAATACATTATTTTATTGAAAAAAAATAAGATATTTGTTTGAAAATATAATTTCTTTTAGAGTATACGAACTGTTTATCGAATAGACATGATGTGTGGGTGTGACTGTATCAGTATGTTGAGAAATTGAGTACCTCTTACATTAGACAGCTGGTGAAACAATTTTACTTTTCGTTCGTTCTCAGCGAACTATACAGAAAATCAGTTCCTACACAATAGACTGTCATTTTAAAATGCATCTAAATACTTTCAAAACAAATTAGAGGCGCTGCTAAAAAAAATGCCAAAAGCAAGAGAAAAAAAGATTTTTGAAAAATCAGAGAGTAAAGCTGAAGACTTTTTTTCCTTTTTTTCTATTCTACAACATCCCAAAGTAGAAGAAGTATGCACCGGCGACGATTAAACGACACCGAAAAAAACCAAGCATTATCACATTCAAGAAATGTTCGTAGATGTTATTATTTGACTTTGAATATGGTTGCAAAAGAAAATTAATGAAATGCACAATCGTTTTGTCCTCCCGCACGCCAAAGGTATATTAATATAGATCGCCACTAGTAGTTAATTTAGACTTACGAGGGGACCTCGTGAACTGTCACATCGCTTTTTCAGCCAAACCTAGTGAGTTGTAGGTTATCAACTATGCTGAATCCGAATATCATAGCGGTAACTGCTCAGGAAAGCAGTTTTCTGGAAAACAAGTTTTCTGGAAAACAAGTTTTCCAGAAACCTTGAAAAGTTCCTAAACTTTTCTCTTAATAGATCACGATTGTAGCCCACGAAATTCTGATTAAAATGAGACATCTCCCACCTCTACATGATCTATCTTTGCAAAGTTATAGAGTTTACAAGAAAAGCCCTAAATGTTCATTGTCAGCTCAAAGCTACAGAAATAAGAAGAAAGTAATTTAGGGCTTTTCTTGTAAATTCTAAAACTTTGTAAAGAAAGGTCGTGTCGAGCTAGAAGATGTCTCATTTTACAATCATGTCTTATTATGAAAGATTTTGGTTACTTTTTCGAGTTTCTGAAAAACTGGGTTTCCAGAAAAGCGTCCTTTGAAGGTCGCTGGGCAGCTACCACCCTGATATTCGGATTCAGTATAGCTGATGACCTTGAACCCACTAGGTTTGGTTGAAAAAGCGATGTGACAGTTCGTGAGGTCCACTCGTTAATATTATTGTGAAATTTTGTCGATCATGCGATCACACGATACATGTATGTATAAAAAAAGAAAAGAAGAAGAATATCCCGGCTTGCGACTATCGTTACCGGTGTAGGGTGCTGCCGAGGCAGTTTTAATAGCTTGATATCTTCCCTGCAGTTGACAAGCGTCTGAAATGGTCAGCCATCTCGTTACAAGCCATCAATTGCAGCTCTGGCAAGACGACTAGTCTGACGCAGAATTCTTTCGCCCAATTACTTGAACTCAAGAAATAAATCATCTACATAATACGTAAGAGAAAAAGAACTGACCATCCCTCGTACGATCACGTTCTATCAATGTGATCGATCTTATGTAACTAGGCATGAACCGATTATTTCTCTTATATCGGTTACTGTCGGGTAACCGATCATAGGTTTTGAGAAGAAATTCATCATTGTTCTATTTCTAGAGCACTACTCTCTAAAAAATAAAGGTATTATAAAATACGAAAAATGGTATAACCATTTGAACCATATCATAACTGTTTAAACCTTTTTTTACTTTTATCAGAAAACCCCTTTGGGATTTTTAGAATATGAAAAAGCCGTGATTTAAAAAGTCCTGAATTGATTTGGTATTTTAAAATACCTGAAAGGTTTTTTTGTGACATGAAGAAACCTATACTGTTTTTCAGAATATAATTTAGCCGTATTTTAGAAAACGCAAATTAGTTTTTTTGATAAGAATAAGAAACTTTTAAACAGTTATGATATGTTTCAAATGATTAAACCTTTTAAACGTTTTTCACGGGTGGTTATACCTTTTTTTGGGTTTTTCTCAAATGGAGAATACTTTTTAGGGTTTTTTAAAATACCTTTTTTTTAGAGTGTACAGTAATTAAATAACAAATCGGCTAACTGTCAGTTATTTTTAGCTATTTATAACTGATGCACGCCTATAACTCGAGAAATCGCAGGACATAACACAGATGATCAAAAGAAGAAACATATGCCATACTCCGTCCACCAAGGGACAAATACCAGATACTAAATTCGTTGGTTAAGTCGAGAACATGTATTTTAGACTATGTATGTATTTTTTCTGGTTTTAGCAGATTGAGTCTTCTAATTATCGGTACATCAAAACCGATACAGATAAAACTAGATGTTTCTCTGACATAGTAAATAGATGTTATGTGCTAACTCATTATATCATTTTAAAACCTTAAAAATAAATGATCGAATATCGGTTTTAAAAAACCAAAACCGGTGCATCTCTAGGAGTAAATGAGAGTAAAGGAAAAGTATTAGCTGATTTTCAAGTAAACATCAAATAGAAAGGCAAGTATCTGTGCACTTTAACAAAAATTTCAAGATGATTGAAATTAATACATCATCCTCTTTCCCCATCAATTTTAGACTTTAAATTTAAAACAGTCTTTGATAGAAAGATTTAAGATGCCGTCTCCTCTTCTATAGATTATTTCTCTAACATACAATATCGTGTGATTCATTGGCTAATGTCGCTTTTGTTGTTGTCTGCTGTAATAATTGTTGATATTTTTCAACTAATTTATCATATTCAAGTTGTTTTCTCTGTTGTTCAACATCTCCCGGTATATTTTCTACTTCTTCCTTGTCACTATTTTGTCGTTTAATTTGTATTCGTGTTCGTTGTGGTGAAGATTGTTGTGATTGATATTGGCGATAAGACGATAAAAATTGAGATGTATTCTCTTCTAATTTGTCAAAATCAGCTTGAATTTTTAAGTCAGATTCACGCATCATTGTTAATTTTTCACGCATCATTTCCGGTAATGGATCAAGTACTAAAATATAAAAATAAAAATTTAGAATAATCTACAATAAAATTCATATGTATGAGCATAACTTACACTCAAGATAATCGTCTAAATAATGCATTGTTAAAAGTAAATAGAATTTAAATTTTTTCTTTATGGTCTCTAAAAATAGAACAAACAAACAATGTTTTCTCTTGCAAGGTAAGGTGCTGACAATGTCAAAATTGAGATTTTGTTTTGTTTTTCATTTTCTTTGCTGTGGGTAGATAGAACTCATCGAAAAGGTCAAATTGAATTTTTTAAAACTTACTTTTGGGAGAAAAGAATTAAAAAATACTTTAAAAAATAGACAAAACTGAGTGAATTTTTCAAAAATAAGGAAAGTTTTGAGGTTTGAGGTGGTTTTTTTTCAGATTTAGCATACAAAACTCTGCATAAAACACTGACTTTAGCGTTTTTGGCAGGTAAAATGCCGACGGAAATTCGTGAAACCCGAACAGAATGGTTGAACATTTTGAAAACCCATCAAGACTCTATAAAATCTAAATTTGACCTTTTCGATGAGTTCTATCTACCCATAGCAAAGAAAACTAAAAACAAAAATTCTCCTCAATTTTCACATGGTTCACACCTTATAAACATCTCAACTTACCAAAATTTTTGTTGTTTACAGCATAAAATATGAAATAAAATAAAGTAAACCTAAAGTTGAACTAAGTCCGATAGAATACAGAAGATAAATATTTTATTATAGAGACAGACATCTAAAAATGAAAGAGAAAAGATCTAAATATGTTCAAAGAGAAAACGAGACTTTCTAAATTCTGCTATATGGGCTAATTTTGATTTTCTCTTTTTAATAAAAACAAATTATTTACAAACATACGGCACAAAAAGTTTTATTTATATAGAAAACAAAAAAAAGAGTAATTAACAATCACATTTACCAAGTATACAAATGAAAGTGAATATACGTAACTTTATGCTATACGATACCAAATTTATAATTTTCTGATACTTTATTTAACACAAATATTCCATAATTCAGCATTTCTAAATATGAAGATAAAATTAGTTAGTTACTAAGCTCATAGTTGCGAAGATAGAAGAACTGTACTTGTAATCGAGAATTTATGCAATCACCGATTTACAGTGTAATACTCCATAGTGATAATTACTTAAATAAACCATTTATAACATAAAAGCAGCATGCCAGAACAAAGATTGATTATGCCATTATTAAAGGTTAATTGCTAAAATTAAATATATATCAGTGATAGATTTTTGCCCGTTAACTATACTTCGTGTAAAACTACTAATAATTGACAAACACAGTTTCTTGAATTTTTGTTTCAATTTCTAATATATTTATAAAATCTCTGATTTATATACCGGAATAGAACGAACGTAAATAAATATGAATAGGCCTGTAAAAGTTCACGTTTCGTTTCTTGAACGTGAACGCTAAAATATGTTGGCATCCTTTGAACGTGAATGTAAAAGCACTGGTGAACATGAGGTTTTTTTATACGAACGGTGTTGATATTGTCTGAAGTAAATATAAAATTCTGTTCTTGTACTATAATAAGAACATATATAGTTTTGGTTAATTTTATCTGATCAATAGAAACTCTAGTGAACGATCAGATGGTCTGCTCAAGGCAGTGACTAGACTATTGCAATGTATTTCCCACTAACAATATTTATAAGTGTGTTAATTCCTACTAACAATATTCCTTTGTTATCATAACCCATTTGGGAGCAAATGAGCGTTGGCTTTTCACTAAATATAACTGGTCATGAAGAAAGCTGTTTCGCTCGGTATATTACTAGCTGAAATTGCTATATAACGTTTTACATTCATTCCACACAAGATCAACATCGTTCATATAAAATAAATTTTGTTTTACAACCGCTTCTTTCGTTACAGAAACGCTCAAGTCTTAGAAACTTGAACTAGCACTTACTACACGCGCAGTCCTCATGATTGCCTGTCTATAACTTTTCTCTCAACATAGTTGAGATATATACGTAGAACATCAGTGATACAATTTTAGTGATAAACGTTCTAATGTATTAACTTGTTTTGTAAACAAGTCGAGTTTAAACATTGAAATTATTTTCTTTTCATTTAACCGCAGTAAACTCGCATGACTCATAGAGAATTTTGACAAAGAATTGGTCTTTTCTCTAAATACTACGTATATATCTCAACGATGTTGAGAGAAAAGTTACAGACAGGCAGTCATGAGGACTGCGTGCGCAGTAAGTGCCAGTTCAAGTTTCCAAGATTTGAACTTTTCTGTAACGAAAAAAGCGCTTGTAAAACAAAATTTACGTATGTACAAACAAGTCGAGTTTAAAGTGGAAATATAAAAGAAAGTTTACATTCACCTGAACACTCGCGTTCGCGTTCAAAAAACGTCATATTTCGCGTACATCTTCAAAGAACGCCAACGTGCTCTACCGTTCACGTTCAAAGAAAACGCTAAAAAGGAACGCTAAACGTTTGCAGTCTTAAATATGAAGGACACAGTATAGGAATGGGTAATAGTAAAACATGAAGACAGCCACAGACACTTACAGACCGCGTAGAGACACCCACAGACAACTATACAGGCATCCACTTCTACAGATATGGGAGTGACACAGACGTGGCTGTCTGTGTAATTATTTTTGGTTGTCTGTAGGTATCTCTACGCTGTCTGTAAGTGTCTGTGGCTGTTTTCATGTTTTACTATTATCCGTACAGGAATATGTATGGCGGATACTATGTAAGCACTATACACTAGCATAAGAGTCATTTTATTTTTATTTCTATGATCACATGTATTAGAAATCCAGATCCTAATTCAAGAAACTTTATTCTCAAATTTTATAGTTCATGGTAACTTCTACTTACCCTAGATGAAATGTATATACGTTGTCACAGTGTCAAAGCCAGTTGAAATTCATCAGACTATATAATGTTTTAATTATAAATACAATAGAAGTTGAAAAGTATAACGTAATGTCTAAAATATCTTATTTGATAGTATTTCTCTTTCTTCCAACTACATCGAAGTATTATATTGTATAGATTTGTATTGTAGGAGTAAATATTCTAAAAATAAATAAAATAAATAATTTATCAATGAAATAAATAATATCAGTATTATTACAGATTCTGACTGATTTTGATGATTGATTAATTCGATGACAAAGTCAACACAGTATTTCCTATTCGAATAAAACATGTACGTAAAAATATTACTGACTTTGATTGATAGTTTTACAAAATTTTCTTACGAAAGTTCTGCACTCTCTTTTAGACTTTTTAGTAGATCATTCCATGAGGTTTTGTTTTTGTTTGAGCCGGGGTCTAAATGCGTATAAACGACGAAATAATAGAAACACATTTCGGATATCGATTAAATGGCTAAAAAACGAGCTTCAACCATCGATTGAATGCGTTTCTATTCTTTCATCGTTTATACAGGTTTGAACACCGGTTCAAACGAAACAGAAATCTCATGGGAATATCCTGTAAATCTAACGGTAAAATTCGTTTGTAATTCAATCCGGATAAAAAATTGGATTATTGAGTAATGTACAACAGACTGAATTAGAGTTAGAAACGCACTGAACATTTAATGTCTAACAGATGTTTTCTACCATTTGCCAAGAGAAGAATTGAAAGAGTCTTATTTGATATGACTGTATTATTTCGAAAACAGATAAACTAAAAGAAAACTATTTCAAGACACATTAATGATGTATCTCACTTAGTCCATCAATAGGGAAATGATACTTTCCCGTTACTTTACTCTGAAAAGTAACAGTCAAAGATTCTTTTTCTTATTTCGACATAATCCCTTATTTATTTTGTTAAACTTTTCTAACTGATGAAAAATATCTTTTTTTGGAAACATTTCATGTTTCTACGGGAACGTACTATTCCTATTAAAAAAACACATGCTTGGACTGAAATCTTACGTTGTGTGATTAGAATGTGCTTGTATATCCGAACTAACAAAAATCTATCCTTTAATTCAATGTTTCTATAAGTTCGTTTCAAAGGACTAAGAAATGAATTAACGGATGCTTCCTTCAAACAAAAAAATTATTTATCCGTTACTTTTCCAGAAGTAACACGAGTAATGGGTTTTCCTTTAACGTTACCGGTAACAGATAATGAATTTTCGTTAACCGTTACAGTAAAATTTTAGTATTGATATTTTTCTAATGTAAATCGGTTTTATTTGTTGCTACTAATAATTGCTATAAATGTGGCTCATAATATTGATATCCACACATGTGTGATCCTTATAACGAGCATATATGAAATAATGATTTACTTCATTAACGAGTAAACACCGAATATTCTGTATGCATCATAATTAATCAATCATCAAAACAAGTCAAAATTAGAATGAAAGATATGACGTACATATACTCGTTGGTTCTGTAAACTTGTTCGATCGGTGTCTCTGTTCAAAATCTCATTTGTACTAATCTTTTCAGATCTTTTCGCGTCAAATAATGTTTATCTAATGCTTGTAGTTGCTCTTCATCAGGTACGAGTAGTGATGTGACGTTTCATTTAACGATTGATTGATCGACATCATAATTCTTAATAATACTTTTGAATTAAGACACGTTAAGAAGGTGCAGCAGACAGAGTAAGTTGAGTATCTGTTATTGATCATGATGATCATAGAAAATTTTAGCCGTGAGTAAATGATGAAATAATATCTAAAAATAATCAACATAAAATGGTGTAATGCATCTTTGTAAACATAGAAGAATAATCAAAATAATCTAAAGAACGTGCGTAACATATTGACATTCCTTTCAATTTTCAAACAGTCTAAAACATAAATAACGTTCAAAATTTTGTCTACTTTTAAGTTTTTACTTTATATCAGAAAATAGTTAAGAGAACAAAACGAGAAACAGTGTTTATCTACAACATATGATTTTAACTAGACTCTCGTTCAAAATGGGTAGAAAATAAGCTGTACTCTGATACGGTTATTCTGTATTTTACACATTGTCCTTTACAAATAGACATGCACCGGTTTCGGTTAACCGAAACCGAACGTAACTGGAACCGAAAATGTTGCACAAGTTCTTGAAAAT